CCTGCCTATTTCGCTAGTTTAGTTTGCCTTTTTCATAGGTTTTTAGGTCCTAAAAATCCGTTCCTCAAGGTTGATATACACTTCCATTAACGCATACGTATGTAGATCAGACTGCCCCAAGAATATATGGAAAAATATTTGTTTGCAAGTTTTATAATGCATACCGTCTATATTTATGCTTTTCAGCTTAAATAACATATTGTATACACTCTAAAAAAAAATTGTGTAGATTTCCTACCAAAAAGGTAGGTTACTGATTTCCTACCTTATTATTCGCGAAGTTACGTGCTCGATTATTCAACGAATAGTTTGTTTAAATTTCGGACTTTTCAGAGTGTAATATAGCTTCTGTGGTGTGCGTAAATTTACTAAGAAAGTGTGTACAAGCTACAAAATACACATCTGCTGTTTGATTTCACCCTTGAAAATTGTGTAAAGCCACTAACAAAAAGGATTTTAGCACACGAAAATGTGTAAACGAGAAAAATACATATTCATCGTGTAAATTTACCAAAAAAAAAAAATTTAAAATAAACAAAAATATACTCGATTTATATAGTCGCATTTTTAAACAGAGTTTTTAGAGTGTATATGAAGTTTTATGGCCACTTGAATTAATCCTGCATGAAAACTTTGGAAATGCGAAAACTGCCATATGTTTTCCATATTTGAATGCATTTTTAGTAAATCTGCGTCTTTAAATTTTTAATAGGGCAGCAGAATTTCTCCCAAGGACACCGAAAAAATTAATTAAAAGAAAATATCCTTTCCACTTTGTATTCTTCAGTATCCTTATATATAGTTATAGGATTTAAATTAGGCTAAGATTATTCAAAATGCATTCGAAATTAAAAATTTCTGAAGGATAAGAATTTTAAAGATATTTTTTTTAAATGTTCCAAAAGGATAATTGAAAAAAAAAGGTTATATATAATAATCTTGTTTTGAAATTTTCTTTAGATTGATACCCATATATCCATATTTTGTGTAAACCTTTAGAAATATATTATAATATATGGTCCTTTGGAAAAAATCCTGACTACCTGGTAAAAAACTAAAGACGCAAATTTACTAAATATTTTCCTTAATACCGTAGGAAGTATAGTAACACCGCTTTATATAGAAGTGAAATGAATAAGTAATCAAAATACGCGGACTTCAGAATTGCATACAATTTTATTTCGAATAGTTTTAAGACAAAACCAATAAAATGAGCGGGTATGCGTTAAAAACAAACAATTTTGTTTTTTTTTTCGGACAAAGACAAAAACGAATACGAATACGATTACGACTGCGAAGCCGTAGGGGAACGCAAAGATGGATACAAAAACGAACACGATAGCGATCATGCATACGAAAGCGATCACGAATACGAAAACGAACATCTAGGCGAAGGTGAAGACGAACACGAATACGGCGACGAAAACATAAGACGTATGTTATGAAAACGAGGACAAATACGAAGGCCAAGACCAAAAGGAAGACCGAGATGAACACGAATATGAAGACGGAATCGATTACGAAGACGGAATTGACGAAAAAGAGAACGATTAAGAAGCCGAAGACGAGGATAAGCATGAAAAAGAACGAAAACGAAGACGAAGAGAAGCACGAGTACGAAAAAAATGACGAAGACGGATATGAAGGTAAACACGAAAACGACGACTGCCGTAACAATTACCATTAGCATTATATTTATATTTAGCATTTGCATGAAAAAACAACCAAAAATTAAGTTTTTTTCCAAGCAAAAATAAAACTAAAAAATAACGACTATTTTCTGAGCAATAAAAAAAAACGCATATACTAAAAAAAATAAAAATCAGTGCCGCTGAAGGTAGTCCGAGTTACAAGAAGTACGTTGGGTTACTCCTTTTTCACGCAGCATTTCTCTTTCCGCATGATTTTTTGAGATGCATTATTATTATTTGCGGAATCTGGTTTCAAACACTTTTAAAAACCTGAAACTTGTCACCATGGTTTGAAGGGTTTTTTAAAAAATTTGACGACTTAGCCATTTTTGAACAAAATTAGTCGCCATTGAGCGGCGGTGCTTCCCCTATTCGAGATCCTTCTCTCTCTTCTTTGACAAGGGGGTGTCCCCTAACCCTACGGTGCTCTTCGCCAAAGAGAGAAGTTTGGACGACCTTGTTTGCCCAGCCTTTTAAGCAGTCACGAATCAGATTTCTTCCAAAGTACGACATTTAGGGCAGACATACCCATGTATGAATGTATGTATGTATAGACCCTTTGAAATTTGCCGTCGTTTTCTTCGTCACTCAAATGCAGTGCATGACCACAAATGACTTTTTGCTAACAATAACGAGTTGATGACTTTTTGATGATATCTACAAGGATCTGCATTGATTGCCCGAGCTCGTATATTTGAAGCCTATTTAGTCACACCGTTGGCGCACACACCATGGCGCCATAAGCTAATTAATTGCCGCAAGCGATTTGCCGTGCGTACGCAGCGTAAATGGTGATGGGTCCAAAAGCAACGGTGATTCGAGTAGAAGGAAACAAAGAAGGGAAGCCAGGCGCCACCGGATACTTTTTTATTAACTGCGTAATGCCACAATGACGCCCATCAGGGTTTGTTTGTATGTCTGAGTGTAAGCAAACGTTCTGTGGCGCCGACATTTTTTCATCCGTGTACCATTTAAAAAAGTAGCATAGCGCATTATTTAAGTCACCGCTGTTTCAGTTTCTTCCCTATATATCGATAGCTAAGAGTGCAAAGTTGCTAAGTCCATTTTTTTTTAATTTCCCAGGAGGCGAAGAAAACGTCTTACAGCCATTACAAAACTCCATACGAATAAGAAGGACTCGAACTTTATTAAAAGATTTCGTATTATTTTGGTTTTAACGGATTTTCGGTGCCTCTTTAAGACTTAACAAATTTTCCTTTTATTGAATATAAAAAGAAGGAAACATAAAACAAGTACCTTAATTTTTTTCAAAACGATGCATTTTTAATACGCCTTGCTTGCTATATCGAAATAGTTTTCATAAAAAGTGAACTTAACAAGTTTTCACTCTTAGCTAGCGATATGTATGTATGTATGTTCATAAGTTTGTGGTATTCACGGGGTTTAGTTACATATACATATGTACATATTCCTGAATAATAACTAAGTAAATGCTGAAGATGAAATCATTTATGTAAAATTGGAAAATGGTTTATCAGAAAGATCACAATGCAATGGCAAAAATCCAGCGGAACGAATGCTACAGTGTTAGGCCCCATATTTAGTTTGTGATGCTAACATTCATATGTACATACATATGTATGTCTGTATGTAGCAACTAGTTTTTGCTTGTTGTAGCGATTATTTCCTGGGGGTTTCGTATTGAAGTAGGAGGGGGGAATTGCGGTACTGCATTCAGTAAACTTGGCATTTTTCGGGCCTTAAACTCTTTCCAGCACCTCCAGTGATGGGGATAGGTACCAGACCAGTCGCAAAAGACGTCCGTCGTTCGTACAGTGCCAGAAATGACCAATCTAGCGTCAATTAATTTTAAATTGCCAAGTTCATATTTTCTCAAATGTACTTATTTCTGTACGCAATTTCCAACACACCCACTGAGTTTATTAACACGTTTCATTTTGTTTTGATCATAATATCCGCACAGCTGACATTAACATATGTTTGTTTGTTAGCGCACGTGTAGCGCAAATATGTACATTAGGGTTATGATTTTTTACACTTTTTTTTTTATTTTGATTTGCCTGTGCTTTCATTTAATGAACTTTTGTCCATATATTACTTTTTTGGCGATATTTTTGTTGGTTCGTGAAAATACCTCCCGCGCACACTATCATTTCATTTACAAGGCTGTTGCATGGCAAAGCCCCATACCTAGTATAAAAATTCGACCGAAATCCCTTTTTGCCTACCAAGTTTTGATTTAAAAACGATGTGTATAATGTGTGCACTAAATCCACAAATCTATTTTACTTTAATAAAACCATAAAACATTTGAGAAGAAAAACATGTTTGAATATTAAGTTTCTCCACTTAGAAACTGATAATAAATTCCGCTATGCGCTGGAGTTTTTTTTATAATTTATCAAAATTGTTGTTATTTTTTGGAAATTCATCGTTTGCCACCACAGGCATTTAAATCTAAAAAAAAATCATACCCCTAATGTACATATACATACATACTATTTCCCGCCGTTTTTTTTTTCTTGTTAGGTCTCTGGATCGGCAAGTGTGATTTTTAGCAAATTTGTTAACAAAATTTTGAGTTTATTTAATTGTTGTGATTCAGTGATTACGTGTTTTATGTGAAAAGCTGGGTGAAATTTAGCGTTTGTGACGAAGGATGAGAGTTCGCGTCCAGTATTTTGTATGTGTACTTATTCAACTCATTGTTTTTAGTCATAATTATACAAAATTTTTGCAAAATATCACGTTTTCCCCGTTCCCGAAGAAATCAGGGGAAAGTGCGAGAGCAAAATGACATTTAATTTTTGGGGCCGCTGCAAATTTCTGCTGCGAAAATTTCACTTGCGAAAACTTGCAAGCAAGACAAGCAGCAACAAACATTTGTTTGTAAATAAACCGAAAAATATTGGCCCTGTTAGGTATATTTTTGCGAATTTTAGAAAGTTTTGAAGCGCTTAATATGTCGATTTTTTTTTGTTATTTTTCCCTGATATATGTATACCGAAATATACAAGAATGCAGCCAGCTAAAATGTTTTTTGGATGAATTTGTCACTTTTGAGTAGGTTGATTGTTGAAATAAACAAGTAATTTTTAGGCCAAAATACAAAACCGACTTCGATTCTCATATAAAAATTTAATAGTACCGTGAATTTCTTCATTACAAAATTATCGGATCTAAACCAAATTAGTATGGGACCACTTCCGATAGAAAAAAATTATCGAAATCGGTTGACGTGGTCCAAAGTTATGCGGTAACATACATAAAAAAAATATTCCGACGAATTTATAATCTTCTCATTTTTTTGAAGTCGGTTAAAAATGGAAAATTTTAAACGTATATTTTTAGATACATTTACTTAATTTCTTTGGAACAAGCGTGGGTGTTTGGAGGAACTTTTTTTATACTTTGGTGTGGACTCAAATAACACCGTAGAGAAAATCTCAAGTTTTGAAATTACACAAAAAACGACGAGACAAGTAAACTTAATGTTGGGTCGTAGATTATGCAACTGTATACTGATATCCAGATCAGGTAATTTTCAAAAGGTATTTTCATTTTTATACAAAAAAATTCAAACCTTAAGAAGAAAAACATTTAAAAAACGTTCACCTTTTTGCAATTTTCTTTTTTTTTTGTGTTAAAGCCTGTTCTGTTGCCAAAAACTGAAGCTACTAACGATGAAAATCGGTGCAGTTTGGCGTGGTCAAATGAAAATGTGTAATAATTTTTAGTATGCCATAGAAGCGGGAAATAATGTTACTCATACGCCACATCCCACATGGCCATACTCGTATACTTATAATCGTACTTGGCGTATGAGTTACATTTTCTATATTAACCCATCTGTTACATCCTTTCTCGCATCCTTTCTACTGACATCCTTGGTACAGCTGTACCACTGGGTGTTTAAGCTGTATTTTAAACTGAAACCATGGTCCGTTATATTTGAAATATAAAATATTCCATTTCTCTATATGCATTTTAGAATATGTACACGCACATTTTAAAATTACTAGTTTTTGATGCAACAAAAGTATGGAAAGATCTCCTAAATCTATGTACGCTTGCTATACAATTGAATGGTCGCCGCGAACAGCGACAATTTTTTTAGAACAAATTTCTTTAACTTTAAGGATATAAATGTACAATATACATTTTACATAAATATCGAAAAAGTAGAAAACCAAATCAAATGAGCTTATGTGTATGTGCGTCTTTAAACACATTTTTTTTGTATTTACGCAAAATTATAATCTTTCCGCTTACAACATTATTCGCGGCGACCATTCAATTGTATCAAGGAGGCCAAAAAGCTATAGGTTAACCATTCCCTCCTACGTACGAGTAATGCAAACTCATAAAAAACTCCACATGAAGTTTCTACTCGGGAGAACGAAAAATGACACTGAAGATGGCACAATGCCGAAACCGGTTTGTCTGCAAACCAAACTTGACAAGGGATGACAGAAATTCGTTCCAAAATAAATCATCTTACCACCCTGTCGGAAAAATCAATCAACACCAACACATACATAAATACTGTTAGAAATTTGTGTTCAAAATCCGAAATGGTACAGCTGCAAAAAGGATGTTAAACGAGGTATAGATGTACATACCTTAGCCACTTCCAACGACTTAAAAGATTCCATTAATTCATTCTTAAATATATATATATATATGAGGCATTCATAAAGTTTTAGCTCTGTAGATGCATAAATAATAGGTTTGATCTCATATACCTCGGACTATATGTGGCAAACCTCTTCAAAAAATTACGGGGTCGTTTTCTAGTAAAAAACTGTAACTTCTGACAACTTCAACATAACCTCCAAAATTTGCTTGTATAGCCATTTTCCTCCAGTTTATTGGAAAGCTTTGAGTACAATGAGGAGAAAGTTAGCTAAATACGGGTATATGTATTTCTCTCGAAATCGCTTTTCGCAAAAATATATATATATATTAGTTACGCTCTTTTTTTATTGCAACTCGTTACAGAATCTCGTAATTTTTTTTTGGTGGAATATCGAAACTGATAAATTTTGGTTCAGTTCACTTTTGTAGACGTGTACGATATGAGCTTAAAGCTTAAGCAGCATCAAGGCGAATTCATAAAGGTGGTAGCATATGCTTTTGTTTTTGCTTTTGGTACAAAACTGGAATGGAAAATGCAATTGAAATTTGTGTACCGAGGCGAAGCAAGTCAGCTGTTCTAAAAACTCTGCCTTATATGAATTCGCCTGGACAATATCGAATAATTTGGAAAGCTTTTTTTCTTTCAGGCATTGTTCTCACCGAAGGCTGTCACCAACACCAAGCGCAACTCAACGTTTTGTGCTGCCTTAACTCTGAAATTACTAAAGGTGTTCGTTTTGGTCTTAAGGGCAGAATGAGAGAGAAAAAATTTGGATGAATTTTTGAAAAAGAAAAAAATATCTAAGCAATATAATGAAATGCAATTATAGACAGAAGAACAAACAAAGCAAAACAAACGAACAAATATTTTCAAGTACCAAATGCAACTATATTCCATTGAATGGAAAAACAACAACAACAACCACAACAACAAGAGAAATACTTAGGTGCTGTGTTTTATACAAACGTTCTAAATAATTCACATACATATAGTATAACTGCAAAACATAAACATTAAAAGTTAGCTAATTATTGATTTTAATTGTAAAATTTTGCTCCAAAAAAAGAAGCAACCAATCGAATTCTTCCATTACCAAACGCGTGTAAAATTAAAGTTAAGCCATTTTTTGCGGCCGCCATTTCCACGTCGTCGCCGATTAATTAATTGCATAGCAGTGCCAGCAACTGTTGCGTAGCGAGTAGCGCGATACGTTCAGAGCTACCCGATTCATTTTCAGCAATATTTCCAAAAACAACAAATAAATAAAATAACGTATGCTTAAGAAAAAAGTGAAATAAATATGTCGTTCGAAAAATTTGCAAATCTATTAACTTATGTATAAAAAAAAACTATTCAATAATAAAAAGTGTGAAATTTAAACTGCAATCATTTAGAACTTAAATTAGTAGTATATACAAATGTATGTATTTTTCGATATTCGTCAGCGCATATTAAATAATTACTAGAGCAGTGTCTAGATCCAGCTTAACACATACATGCATACATATGTATATGTACATATTAGACTGCTTCGAACGAAACTTGTACTCTTTAACAAAGTGTTGTGAATTGCGATTAAAATAAGATATTAAATTAACATTATTAATAATAGAAAAAAAAAAAACGATTACATAAAATGTTTTTAAATTTACCGAACCAAAAATCATAACGAGTAGTTTCGACAAGTCTTAACGAAAATTAAAGTTAAAATTAAAAAGTAATAATTTAAATAAAAAAATTTACTAAGTAGTGAATATAATCTCATCGAGCTTAAGGATATTACCAATGAACCGCACAACAGCGCCTAATGCAAATAACAACAATTGGAGAAATAGTGTTACGACAACAAATGCAATTATAACGAATAAAAAGCAAAAAACAAATAAAGCACCGAAAAAAAAACCAAAAACTTTTAATAAGTACGAAAATTCACTAAAAAGACGAAGCACGCGAAATAAATAAAGTTTTCCTCAACCTTAACCCTGCACGCGCCGTTGAGAAGCGTAGATTGCAGCACCTAACCTCTGAGCAAATATCTTCATCTCTACCAAGAATAACTGCACAATCAGACATATGTACACGCGTCTGACTTTGTGATCGCATGTGTGTGCGTGTGAGTAGGTTGTGTAGCACACTTGTAGCACACAATTTGCCCAAGTACAGCCGTGTAATATTTGGCCTATGTCCAAATAGGCTTTTTTGATTGCAGCACTTTGCCCTTAGAAGAAACTCGAACTAGCGTTGAAATGTAGAAGTGCCAATGCGCTAAGACAACATAACTACAGGAACTACGAACGACGAACGACGTACGCGACCAACGACGACCTTCGCGTGCTGGCAATACCCCGCCCTTTGCATTGAAGTTGAAGTTGAAGGACGTCAACGGCCTATCAAACGTATCACAGCCCGTATAAGGCAATCGGCGCAGGTATTATTGAGGCACCGGAAACCGAATTGCCGTGCAAGTGCACCGTCAGACTGCTGGCTATTTACATAAATCCAATATGAAAGCGTCATGAGTGAATCCAAGGTTAGAATTTAAACATAAACATATGTATGTATGTATGTACATATATGTATGATGCTATAGCGCCAGAGAAGCCTATCTACATTTTTGAAAAAAAAAAATAATAATATGGCGATGTATAAAATTCATAGCCACAAAGATTTTGCTTATGACAACAATAGGTTAGGTTAGGTTGAGGTGGCTGGTGATGGTCGAACAGCACAGGTCCCCAAAGGTTGCAGCACCCATGTAAGTATGTACCTGCATAAGTCTCCTCTTTCAAAATGCGGAATTCAGGGCTCGAATCGTAACATCCGTTCACGGATCGAAAACGATACGAAAGAAAATTACGTGATACGTCAGGCAGTATAAACTAAATGGGACAAAGAGTACGTTCACGTATGTCATAATCCGAAAAATGTGTTTTTACGTCACGAGTAGTACGATATCGTATGTGACGATTCGAGCGAGGAGCTCCTAAGAACTATTCCAAGTCCTATTCTGGCCACATGTGTATGTGTCAAGCTGTTCTCATCTTCGGTTAAGAAATGTTATTGATAAAGGATCTACATAGACAGAATCATGTTTGCCTTTTTCAAACTTTCATTTTAGCTCCTTGTAATAAATGTCATTGGTCCAACAGTTCTTCATTGATTTAAAAATATTCCTAATTTTACATTTAATAGTACACTGCCATTTCAATACTAGATTAATAGAAAAAAGTTTTCTTCTATAATTATGAACAAAGTTTCGTATAAATAGGAAACAAGTAATTTACAAACAAAAATTTTTAAGCGCAAGCTTTTATAAGTGATTAATGAAAAAAAGAAAGGACCACCCGCGCACCACTTAACAGCTAAAAATTGTTTACCTATACATAGTTATTTCATCCTATTTAAGTAACATACGTTTTAAAATGAATCTAGTAGGATCATAAATGCGGATTTTCCGAATATCTCGACTCTTGCGCCACCTACGGGACAAACTTTTTTATGGAGTTGTTTATTTTTAGACAAGTGATTCACATTTTAAATATGAACCAAATCGGAAGGTTTGGTTTTCGTATATATCGATACCAGCGCCACCTAGCGCATTAACTCATGTTCCGTATTGCATTGTCATCGGTTTTCGAGCTAAGCTGAAAGTTTCAGGGCTCGAGCTCATCGGAAAGTTGGTTAAAAATTGGTTGCAAAATTTGATTACACACAGTTGAAATATAATAAAAGCTTGTGAGAATACAAAAACCGTGGCGTAAGCTTAAGACTTCTTTCTAAATTTTGTTCAAAACATATTTTTACCACGCTCTTGTCTAAGTAATTATTATTTTTTTTTTAACTTCAAACATTTTTCTTTCTTCTTAAACACGCCCTCAAGTAATTAAGCGAAGAACTGTTTACTCTGAATGGTCGTCATCAAAAGAAGGAGACCTCACCGAGACCGAGGCTTAACTTAACTTTCATTGGCAGGTTTTTTATAAGTGGCCAGTCTTGACCCAGCGCACAACCAATTGCTGGGGGTTTGCCTTCTCACAATTAGCTCACTTCCGAACGGGTGTTCGGTTGCTACCCAGAGGATGCTTGGTGTAAACACCGGAAGTCGTGAGCTGCTTGAAAGGTTTGCAAAATAATCTTTACTGGCCCTCCCAGGTTAATGGTGATCAAAAGCTTTTCCCACATGCGTGGAATGCTGCACCCGGAATCATCCTCCGAGTCCGAGTAGTTATGTGAAAAGGAATACGCTGAGGGTTATGCCTGGGGCACACATGTGGTAAAGAAATTACAAAATTATTATTGTAGTTTGCAGCAACTACAATGACTTGTGGTATGCGAGTGACACACGTTGGGTTATAGATCGTAATATTGATATCATACTACGATTGTGTGTCTCTAGCATTAGAAAAACTGCAAACACAGTTTTATAAATGAATTACTTAACCAGGCATAATTCCTCGGTCTTTAAGAAAATTCGTGTAATTTTTTTTATTTTTATTTTGTTACACTGTGTATTTTAGAATCTTCTTTAGAATTCTTCTTACCTACGTACGTTTCCATATTCATTTGCAGGATATACAAAAATGCAGGAAATGAGTTACCTGCAAGATAATTCCAAATTGGAGGCACTTACCAAGGCTGTACTCATCTCCATTCTAGGTGTTGCCATAGTCATCTCGAATCTTCTCATTATAGCCACTTATGCAAATTTCAAAGGTGAGTCTTTGTAAGTATAAAATTGCAACTGTTTAATTTCCGCGTACAACAACGAGTACGTACGAGTACATATTTAAAATAATAATAAAGTAAATATGTATGCGCAAATATGACGTACATACATATATACGTATATGCAAAATCACACATATGTACATACCAGGATGCTACGTAACTTGAACGGAAGAAGGTACAACCAACCACCTGCCGATGCATGAGATAACAGTAATTATTTTTGGTTGTAGTTTAGAAGAGCATTTAGAAAAGCTTTTCTTTTGTTGTGCGACAATAGACAGTTTAATATTTCAATTTTATCTTCAATGCTCGTTAGAAATCAAATAAAGAAAGCGTTATTTGCGACTGATTTACGAACTTGAATCGATTTCCATACATACGTTCATACAAGCGGTCCACTTTAGATAATAGGTAGGGTACCCGCGGGTGCCCAAAACAACGCAGAAAGCGTTCCTCACGCTAGAAAAATGATGGTAATAGAGAGCGAATACCTTCCACATTTGGATCGTATGTATATGTCTTCTTCTTCGTGCCCGAAACAGCCCGGACTTTTTTGCGGGCAGAAATGTGCAAGAAGTAAATTTGAAATAACAGATGTTGTTTTGTAAAATACAAAAATGGAAAATGGCACTAAAAGAGGTTTTTTGTGTTCCTCACGCTGTGGGCACTTTTGGCACGTGTTGACACATTTTTGACACTTGTGAGAGAGTAACTTATTTTTACGCTCTATTAACCGAAACAACCCGGAAAGCGTGTGGAATAAAAGTAATAGTTGTGTTCGTTCAGAAAAGTCAGTAACAAAATTCAGAGAATAGATACCTTATCCTAAGAGAGAAACTTACAAAGTATAGCGCGAACAGGAATTTGTAGAAATTTGCAAGCTTCTCTGCCAAAACAGGATATATACGTATATTTCTTCTTATTCTCGCTTTTTTCAACATATGCTTCAATTTTTTGTGGTAGTCACCGTCGGATTTCCTATATCGACAGTGGTATCGACTGCGTTTCGATTACGAATAGAGCTTTTTCAGCCGAGTACCTTTGAAATCATTGGAATTAAGTAAATTAATTGAATAAACAAATATTCGCGGCAAGATTGAAATTTTTAAATTTAACGAACTTGTAGACTCAAATTATTGTTGACAAAAATTCAACCGTGTGCCACAATCCTGCTTNTAAAAGTAATAGTTGTGTTCGTTCAGAAAAGTCAGTAACAAAATTCAGAGAGTAGATACCTTATCCTAAGAGAAAAACTTACAAAGTATAGCGCGAACAGGAATTTGCAGATATTTTCAAGCTTCTCTGCCAGCCGGCGTCCACAGTTGCATTTCAAACATAATCATTTTTTTTTTTTTATTATTTCAAGTGGAAAACAAAACAGGATATATACGTATATTTCTTCTTATTCTCGCTTTTTTCAACTTTTGCTTAAATTTTTTGTGGTAGTCACCGTCGGATTTCCTATATCGACAGTGGTATCGACTGCGCTTCAATTACGAATAGAGCTTTTTCAGCCGAGTACCTTTGAAATCATTGGAATTAATTAAATTAATTGAATAAACAAATATTCGCGGCAAGATTGAAATTTGGAAATTTAACGAACTTGTTGACTCAAATTATTGTTGACAAAAATTCAACCGTGTGCCACAATCCTGCTTGCAAATGTTTGCTCGCAAAAATTTTCCCAGCACGAGTTTGCAACTTCTCCTCCAAATGAAAGGTCAAAATTGTGCTCTCTCCTTGCAAGTTGTGTAAGTTGTGTAAGTTTTTTGTCCAAACGAACGCGATTTGGTAACAATTGACACCATCTTGTACAAGTTTTTTGCATCGGGAACAGAACTAATATGCATATAACACTAACATACGTTCGCTGAAATCGATCTATCCAAGAGCGATCCGCTCACTCTCCCCTATCTCGGTGAGAACCACTAGAGGGTGCCTTTCATGGCACTCATTCGCAAAGAGTGGCAATATCACTGTGGCCTAGTATTCGTATATGGATGACTAATAAAAAATCAACCACAAGTCAAAGAGATGTTAGGCAGTCCCCTAATTGCCGCTTGACAATTAGAGAATATGCTTGCCCCGCTTGCCGATGTCAGCCAATCTGTGCCCCGTCCACTCACGCCCAGAGGTGAAATGAGTAAAGAAAGAGCACATTGGTATCAGTATTATCAGAGATAAAGTCGAAGCCTCGAAGTGCATACACTAGAGGGGTCTTGGTCCTGAGTAAGTTTCGTAGAGCCAGGAAATTACTTTAGCAGGGGGCTCCATCTCTTACCAGTAGCTTAGAACCACTGATCCCTTCTTCCCTCTTTTCTTCTTCGAAGGAAGCAATAAAGCAGAATTGTTGCGTCGAGTAAAGAAATTTAAGGCTTCCCATTTATAATCAGGCCCAACCACTTGATTTGTTTAGAAAGCGGCAGACGAATGGGATACATTATTTTTCCTGGTGAACAAGACAAGTTTCGATTTACTAAAATTTTCAGAGTCGTGGACTCTCTCACACCTCAACTCAACTACGAGGTTGATGTACCCTTGGATACGCAGGATTTTTTCACCGGAAGATAATGATCCATAAGTAAACAATTTCTACAGGTGACTAGGCACAGCTCCTCATTTTGTCTTCGTAGGTTAAGTTGATAAAGTCCGACGGCCGCAACAATGTGTATGCTTTTTATCGCGATGATTGACTCTAAACTGGTTGGTAGAGGTGGGTAATTGAGTTACTCTGCTGTCTCCCAGCATTGAGCCGCATGCTCGGACTCACTTCTCAAAAGAATTGTGACTCACTAGCTTAGTACCTATGTGCCTATCAGCCACCTACAAGCACTTTGAACTAAAAGAATTAAAGAAGAAAGACGAAGAACATACTGAAGAGATGTATGGGATACTAATGTGGACTTTACTAACTGAGTTGACTCACTAAATTGAGCTAGAGTCATTGAGTGGACTCGTGAGTTACCCACCCAACCAGTTTTTATAGGGCACAACCCGTTCAGTCATATTTGAAATTAAAAACTTTTAAATCGGTATGGAAATCATATTAAATAACAGTTCTTATATAAGCCTTTCAAACACACAAATTGTTTAACTCCATCAACAAATATCAATCCATCATAGGCTCAAATATACCTGTTGGCGCGGCTTAGGAGTTAATAAAACAATTGTATTTTTTGTTATATNGGTCAAAATTGTGCTCTCTCCTTGCAAGTTGTGTAAGTTTTTTGTCCAAACGAACGCGATTTGGTAACAATTGACACCATCTTGTACAAGTTTTTTGCCTCGGGAACAGAACTAATATGCATATAGCACTAACAAACGTTCGCTGAAATCGATCTATCCAAGAGCGATCCGCAAGTAATCACAGGTACTCTCACTCTCCCCTTTCTCGGTGAGAACCACTAGAGGGTGCCTTTCATGGTACTCATTCGCAAAGAATGGCAATATCACTGTGGCCTAGTATTCGTATATGGATGACTAATCAAAAATCAACCACAACTCAAAGAGATGTTAGGCAGTCCCCTAATTGCCGCTTGACAATTAGAGAATATGCTTGCCCCGCTTGCCGATGTCTCAGCCAATCTGTGCCCCGTCCACTCACGCCCAGAGGTGAAATGAGTAAAGAAAGAGCACATTGGTGTCAGTGTTATCAGAGATAAAGTCGAAGCCTCGAAGTGCATATACTAGAGGGGTCTTGGTCCTGAGTCTGTTTCGTAGAGCCAGGAAATTACTTTAGCAGGGGGGCTCCATCTCTTACCAGTAGCTTAGAACCACTGATCCCTTCTTCCCTCTTTTCTTCTTCGAAGGAAGAAATAAAGCAGAATTGTTGTTATGCGTCGAGTAAAGAAATTTAAGGCTTCCCATTTATAATCAAGCCCAACCACTTGATTTGTTTAGAAAGCGGCAGACGAATGGGATACATTATTTTTCCTGGTGAACAAGACAAATTTCGATTTACTAAAATTTTCAGAGTCCACGGTTCTCAAACCTCAACTCAACTACGAGGTTGATGTACCCTTGGATACGCAGGATTTTTTCACCGGAAGATAATGATCCATAAGTAAAAAATTTCTACAGGTGACTAGGCACAGCTCCTCATTTTGTCTTCGTAGATTAAGTTGATAAAGTCCGACGGCCGCAACAATGTGTATGTTTTTTTATCGCGATGATTGACTCTAAACTGGTTGGTGGTGGAGGTGGGTAACTGAGTTACTCTGCTGTCTCCCAGCATTGAGCCGCATGCTCGGACTCACCTCTCAAAAGAATTGTGACTCACTAGCTTAGTACCTATGTGCCTATCAGCCACCTACAAGCACTTTGAACTAAAAGAATTAAAGAAGAAAGAGAAGTACATACTGGAGAGATGTATGGGATACTAATGTGGACTTTAATAACTGAGTTGACTCACTAAATTGAGCTAGAGTCATTGAGTGGACTCGTGAGTTACCCACCCAACCAGTTTTTATAGGGCACAACCCGGTCAGTCATATTTGAAATTAAAAACTTTTAAATCGGTATGGAAATCATATTAAATAGCAGTTCTTAAATAAGCCTTTCAAACACACAAATTGTTTAACTCCATCAACCAATATCAATCCATCATAGGCTCAAATACATATACCTAAACATATGCATATGTATGAATATCTGTCTTGACTAATTTGCTGGTGCACTATGACAGCGGGACTAATCACGAGACCTTTTAAAATCGGCTGGCTAACGATGCTTCTTTATTTATCTATTTTTTATTATTCTTTATTTATTTTTTCTTTTAATTATCTATTTGTGTTTTTATATGTATTTGTATTCTGCTTGTTGTGAAAAGCAAATAAATTCCTTGCAACTTCTTTCGCTAACTATGTACTTGGTCTGTACGTTGCGTTTAGGTCCCACAGAGGTCATCAATTATTACCTTCTCTCGCTGGCAGTAGCGGATCTGCTATGCGGACTACTGGTTGTGCCGTTCTCAGTGTATCCAGCGTTGACCGGCGAATGGATGTACGGCGACATCGTATGCCGATTCACGGGCTACCTGGAGGTGACGCTATGGGCCGTCTCCGTATACACATTCATGTGGATCTCGGTGGACCGATATTTGGCCGTCCGGAAGCCGCTACGCTATGAAACTGTACAGACGAAAACCAGGTAAATAACTCCCAAATATACAAGCCTCTCTTCGTCTCTTCGGTGGTTAATTAATTTTCTTTTTGTGATTTTTTGCTTGCTTGCAGATGTCAATGCTGGATGGTGTTCACATGGATCTCAGCCGCTCTGCTTTGCTGTCCGCCAATACTGGGTTACACGAAGCCCATAGCGAATAATGTGACACACATTTGCATGCTCGACTGGGGCAATATGGCTGCGTACAGTGCGACACTGGCGATTTTAGTTTTAGGTCCTAGCGTTATATCCATAGTACATAATTATGGTTATATATTTGTAATGATCCGAAAACTGAAATCGGGTGAACCCATACATGACAAAGAATATGCAACCGCATTAGCAGAAAATTTATCGAATCCTAGTCATATGATGTCATTCGTATTAGTGTTTGCATTCTGGATGTCGTGGTTGCCATGGATGCTGTTGCGCTTCTACGAAGTGGTGACCGGTGATGTTATCCAAAGTACTCTTATTCATTTTATGGTCGTCTGGATTGGCGTGCTGAATTCATTTTGGAAAATCGTCATTATGACCAGTATGTCGCCGCAATTTCGCATCGCACTTAGAGTATTTTGTTTAACAATTTGCTGTAAGACTAAGGGCCGTTTGCAAGCAGAACTAATCGGATTGGACCCAGATGACTAGAGTCGTTAGATTTTCCACCGTATGAACGGTTAAATTAACTTTCACAATTGGCTTACTTTTCATCACTTTCCATTCGAAGCATACAACATGTTTTTGCTTTTGTTATTGGTATTGGTATTGGCCCGCTATTGCGATATGGTCAAGATATATATATATATATATATACTCAATAGTTGTTGAGAATGACTTTAGAAATATGTAAATGATATACATATGTATGTACATTTGTACATTGGTATGTGCATGTCGATATGTACAAAAACGAATGTACAAGTATCTAACTACAGATTCGGATACCTGTTAGGAGAAGAAAATGATGTTTAATGTAACTCAAATGTGAAATTTTGTTTAAACAAATAGCCAAGTCTGCGAAAGACTTGGTAGCAGTGTTGGTCACGAGCCCATTATCGATATATGTAGTACTCCTATGTATGTATGTACGCCAAAATTTATACAAACAGACATACATATGCACATTAGGGTGTCCCAGAATATTTTTTTTTTGCGAAATTTTTAAGTTTTTCCTTTTGGTCTAAATAATGTATCTATGGATGCATGCATGTATGTACACCATACCGACTAGAAGTTGAATTTTTAGCTAAGAACTTGAAAGTTATTGTTAGATGACTAGATACACCGTGCCAGTATACTATATGTACTTCCAATTTATGGAACATTTTGACATTTGGCCGATATGATAGCGCTCAATCGTAATAAATCAACGTTTGCGGATACCCAACATCCTTTTACAGTTCAAATATTTTTAAAGAATATTTTCTATTTTTTATACCCGAACTTTGTTTCAATCTATACATATTCATATCACCGAAAATCAAGGAGTCCCATGACCCGTACCAAAATCAGTATGGCTGGGGGCTTACCGTACTGGTTCCTGCTCCAAAAGTGGAACGAAATGGCTAGGGTAGCCTGAAACGTAAACACCGAGCACTTTGTGCCTGGCGTAGTATGTTTACCATCCAGCGAAAAAAAGTCTGATTAGGTTGATGTTTTACCGCTATTCGTCGCCTTGCCACCCCACAAGGAATATTGGGCAGATTTCAATCAATAATTCCCGATTTCGACGACTAGCGTTGTAAGGGAGCACCAGTAACGGTTGTTTCCCTTGCTGGAGAATTGTTACAAGTTGATATACGTTGATTAGACCAAAAGAAAAAAAAAACATGTATGATATTTCCCTAACGTACACACTTGCATACATTCATACGTACATATTTATACTTATGGCTGCATATGAGACCGTACAAGCAAACAAAAAAAGTTTACCGTACACCCCTCAGTCTAAAAAGTGTTTGCAAGGCAATGGCGTATATACATTTTTCGGTGATACCTCAATTCAGGTATTAAAAATTGTTTTTCAAAATAGGAGTACACCTGGAAAAGGTTTTTAGTTATAATTACTAACCAAATAATGTAGTTGGATATGGCGAAATAAATATTTAGTCTGCGAAAGTCTGCAATTTTTACTTGAGCCTTTTAGTTGAGAGAAATGTATATGTATTTGCAAACAATTACGAAATCACAATAGGGGTATTCCCGATCCGTTGCATACTGTCTAGCATGGTGCATAGAGAGCAGAAATAGCATGATTGGATAATTTTGTTGTTGTTTTATGTGTTCAAACAACAACAAAATTATCCATTATTCATGCACCATGCTAGACCTTATGCAACGGATCGAGAATACCCCTTATGTATTTTGATTGGACAATGTTGTTAGTTGAATCAAATCGTTGTTGAGGGAAAATAAATCGTGCTTTGGTTGATACAAGTTTTCAAATACTTTTGTGAACTTATTGGAAACTTGCATCAGGTACCTTATTGATGAAATAATTGACACAAATAAAAATTTTGACAATGGTTGTTGTTTGTTTATAACGTGTTTTCGTAACGAATCGAGATAGACATACACAAATGTATACATAAATGATCAGAATGAAATGAGAAATCGATTTAGCGCTGACTGTCTGTCCGTCCGTCCGTCCGTCCGTCTGTGCACACGATAACTCGAGTAAAAATAGAGATATCTTAACGAAACTTGGTACGTGCACTTCTTTCGGGCGTAGGACGGCAAAATGGGAACAAAGTTAGCTAGCACGGATAGACGATAGCGAGTTTGGTTGTACCTCATTGAGTTCGTTCGTTTCGCCACTCGCTAACTGTTGGCAAATCGATGACGGCTAATAACATCCTTTTATGAACCATACCCTACGTTGAATCGAATTTGTGGAAATATTTATAAAAAAAAAATATCTATTAATTAATATTTACCGAACCCAAAGAATTCTTCAACCAAAACACGATTTGGTTCAACCTAGATGAATACCATAAGAATTATTTAGTTACACTAATCGAACCCTGGTAATAAATAGTTCCCAAATATTTCCAAAATTCGGCAACTGAATATATTGAGTCGAAACAACAACAACGTCTTCTCAGTGTAGTTCTACTGGAATAATCAAAAAACAAAAGGTGAATGATATTTGGAGAGCATTAATTTACTGGCATTAGGGCGTTACGTTATGGTGGTAGGAACTGGTGGGTATTTGTCTTTAAGATCCAACTGTAAATGCCGAAGAATACTTTAGACTCAGGGGTGTATTTAGTATGGCTTTTCTTTTTGGTATGGCAAACACAAGTTTTCCTAAACCAATAAAACCTGCGGACATATATACATATACGTTTCTAAATATGTAAGTATGAGTATATACATATATGTATATATGTTCATACGTATGTAAATATCTATGTTTAGAGAAAAAATACTGAAATTATTAGTTCACTTACTTACTTATAGAATGTGATTTATAAGTAGTGAATTCGTAACATAGTTTGGAAATTAAATTAATTTAAAATTCAATGCGCCGTAGAAAGCTTGGATTTTTAACTTTTATTTTATTTTTCTTGCCGCCGCCGTATTTAGTAGAATAATGGAAAACTATGTTCCACTTGTTACATAATTCATTTTTGTTATGACGGCGTTATTTGAAAATAAGGACAAATTATCGGCGAAATAATAAAAAAGGGAGTACATATGTACACACATACATAAGTAGTATAGGAATAAAATATTAAGATACATATGTATATACTTTGTTTTATTATTTCTTCTGTTAAGTAGATATACGTATGTATATATATCAACGATGCATACCCTTTTCCGGACATATGTATGTACATTACCCCCTATTTTAACATCAAAAAATATTTAGAGGCCGCTCAAAGCGCTCAAAGTTTTCCATGCATTTTTATATGGGAAAACAACAAATTTTCGTAGAAATGGTATAGAATTCTTTTCGATTGGAAAACTTTGGTTCTCTTCGGGAGAGTTACTATAATAATACCCAATTATTTATTTTACCATTTTTTAATACTAACGATTTTTTATTTGTTCCCCCATTGCATTTTTCGGAGTTTTCGTGGATTTTTGGCGGACCTGTAAATTATAGTTGCGATGAAAAACTGGTTAAGTAAACAATTGGGTATTATTATTGGCAATCTTCTGCAGATGAAGAGAATTTTCCGATAGAAAAATATTGTTTTTTTTTAGAATTCTACACCATTTCTATGAAAAGGTTTTTTCCGCATATAAAATACATGGAAAACTTTGGGCGCTTTGAGCGACCTCTAAATATTTTTTGATTTCAAAATAAAAAATAGGAGTATATTTTTTTCGGTATAGAACAATCCTAGGGGGTGAGAGCACAAAAATTCCGACTTTATTTTCCACATGTGCATATGGAGAGACGCATTAAATAAAAATAAAAAATAAAAATGGTAATGCTGATTGCGGCACTGTCAAAGTATTTAGCCATAATTGAAAGAAATTTAAGTGTAATTTAAGTAACCCGAAAATGACACAGATACATTTAAAAACGTGAGAAGTTGAAATTAATTGCGAGAAGCAAATTATATAAGGAAATGTACCGAAATATCGCCAATTAGATACAAAAAAAAAAATCCACATCATAGAATTATTCTTTTGTTTCTTAGAAACTTATTCTGACCTAGCCTTCGACCCTGCCATTCTTAATTTGCCAAAAAGAAATATATAAATTATTTATTTCTTAGTATTTTTCCCGTCCGAGCATAGTTTAGTTGAGTGAGACCTTAAAATGGGTGCCCCCTAGAGTGAGAAATCCCCTGTTCGGGATGCGGCGATTTCAGAATCAAACTGCTTAGTGCAAGTTAGCGATAATTATCCTACCGAATACAGAAGGTGGCGCTGATTGTGATACCGGTAACTCTCTCTTGAAAATTTTCACAGAAATATGACTTCATAGGAGATTTTGTGTATTGCCTGTGTAACATACATATACATATACACACGCAAAACATATACATACTGATAGATCTCTCCCAGCTCTCTTCTCCGACAAATCTGCGAAGACGTCATATCCACGTTACTCTCCCGAATTTCACATCAATCAGCGCAGTCTTGTATTCTATCGGTCTTGTTAGCGATCCAGAATCGCCAGCGCGGTTACCCACGGACGTAAAAATGGGGAAAATGTCGGCTGACACGATCTATCTAATGCGGTGTTGAGGAGCACCGCCTTGATAAGCTTTCTACACATTTTGTATAGGCGCGTGCAGAGTAAAAGCTCTCTTTGCCCATCGCTGATCTAATGGGATCTGTTAACGAAAACTCACCACCGCATGATCGTGACGTAGTAGACGTTGATTCACTCTCTCTCTCTCTCTCTATCAACAGCAAATTTGATATGTTTCTATGCACTTCTACGGTTCGCTACGTACACGTTCGTACGTAACCGCGCTCTTCAAGTAAGCTGGTATTTATGCTGTGTTTAAATGCATTTTTTCTACATACATATGGAAGAATTATAGAAAAGAAGATTGCGCCCTGATCCTTGCTGTGACGTCATGAACGAAACAGTAGGAATAGCAGACACAGAACAAGTGGCAAAATCCCATTCAAATGATAAACAAAATTGGGAGCATTCACTTAAAGTTGTTAAATAAACAATATATAAGTATTTGTTTATTATAAGAAATATTGGAAGAAAAATTTAAGTAAATGTGCCAAGTATATGTATATGTACATACAGAGGCGGCGAAACGCCCTGTGTCCGGTGGGTAGCAAGAGTATACAGGTACGGAAAATGTGTAATTGAGAAGGTTTCGTGTATAATACATTTATTTTTCATTCATACTATGTATGTATATATTTCATAGAAATCGTAATTTAATCAAATTTCGAAAAACAAAAATGTCTGCAGTGAAAACACGGCCATTCGTTTTGAATTTCGAGAAATGGAATCCTTCATGAGGATTTCTAGATCTATCTCATCAACTGCTCCTGGATAAGAACGCAATATTGCTACATGGTTGACCCACACACAATTCGTTTTCACGTAAAAATTGCACAACATCTTTCACAGAACCTGGATTTTGCTCTTTGCGCCTCAATTATGCACAGAGCCATATCTTTATCGCTCTTGAGTCTGCATTTACTCAAAATCACCATTATAAAACGTGACGATTCTCTTCAAATCCACTGTCCCACCAAGAAAGATCTTCTCTAAAGTTTTATAAAACGTTGCCGATTCAATATCAAATCTACTTGGCAGGCAGCAAATAACTTGGTAAAAAATTTCATAATATATCTTCCGAAAATACTCTCAGCAGTGAATTTCTGCTTTTGATATGTCGACACCTGAGTGGAAAAACGCCCTGCCAGTTCGAAAACGTAATATCTCGAAAAACTTTTCAAGAACGCCTTACTTCAGAATTTGATTGTAGAACGCCCTATTTCAGAGCTTTATTGAAAACACCCTACCTCGGGATTTTGTTGAAGAACGCCCTATCTCAGAATTCGGTTCAAAAACGCCCTATCTCAACTGAAAATACAAATATTGAAAATATGCTAAGACAGGACGTTCTTCAACCAAATTCTGATATAGGAAGTTTATCGATAAAATTCTGACAATGGAAAATTCCCAAGTGCATTTCTCGAAATAAAAACGCTTCACATAAAAAAGAGGTGCAGTTGGCATTATACTATAATTGCCAAAGAAATTATTTTTATCAGCTTAACTACTTTTCCGCTGGATATGAGCAAAAGTGGATCATAAATATCTGCCAGGTGCATCCATAGTTTATATCTACATACATACATATGTTGTATCTTCTAATTCAACTTCCATAAAGAAGGTATGTACATGTTAAGAGACCCTGCCCAAAAATAGTTGATATATATATGCACACAAGCATACATACATAGAGTGTTGCCAGGCCTACATACATAATTACCAAATTGAATTTATTTTATATATTACATAAACACGTAAATATGTAATTGTATAAACGTATTGTTGCACCCGAATTTGATGTGGAAATACTTCAAATTTCATAACTATGCGCGATATGCGTTGATATTTTATCCTTTTTCCTTAGTGGGATAAATACAGTTTCCTTTTGAGTGCAACACTGCGCTTATACACAATAAATTTACACATAACCATTATTTGTATATTTGTATTTGCATATAAATTAATTACATTTGTTAAATGCGTACGTATTACAGATTATGTA